TGGTAAGGAGGTGGCAATTAGGCAGAGGACCAGATCTCTCCTGGTGAATCCAAAACTTCCTTATATCGATTTTATGATTTGAGTATTGAATTTCAATTACACAGGTACCTAATTTACTACAAATGCCTAATTTACTAAATCTGACTTGCAGTTCGTCTAGATGTGAGAGCAACTTCAGCGCCTTTGAAATGGTAACATTATTTAATAGTTAATACTTAGTTACTTACATAATAATGGTAGTTTGTTTCTTTACTATCTTAGTTTATTAGCATATTAAATTATTAATATATTACGTATTTATGTAGTCGTAAATTTTGGTTGTTATTCAATTTTTTTCTATTAGGTGTATACAAAGAAGAGGAGGCTACTGAAGCTGCTGATATGGATAACACATACGAGTGGCAAGTTGATGCCGAGGACAATGTCGTATTCCCTGGAGAGACCTTGACCTGGGGGCAAGTTCATGAGGCTGCTGGGAGAGCAATGAGCCCCATGCGGACCACTCGGGCTCAATCTCAAAGCCAAATGAAGGGTAAGGAACGGGCCTAGCAGCGGAACGGATCCTCTAACTCCTTAGACTGGTTTTTACAAGTCTAGAAGACTACTTCCACTAGTACGACATGTGCGAAACTAAACGAATCAACTAGAGCTTGGTGACAAGCGGTAGAAGAAAAAGTCCCTAAATCTAGTCAGCTTATGATCCAAACATAGGAGGAGAGACAAACTCCATAGATCGGGGCAGGCTGCCATCCAAACAAGGGAGGAGATGTATGGTAGGAGGAAGGAACGTTACTTGCCTCCACAACACGAACAGATGTCGCTTTAGAATTTGCTTCCCCTTAAGCTAGGCAACACAACAACCATGAGCTTAATGCTTTCCATTCACTTTTGAGGCTGATGAATAGAAACTAGTCCCAAGGTACAATTAAACTAACTTTGGAAAACAATAAGCTCATGGAACTTGGGATATGAGAACAATGGCCAAGGATTGGTATATGGCTTGGGGGATTGAACAACATAAGATACAAACGCTGCAACACTTTAGCTCTCACCTAGCCTAATCTCTTGCCACTAAGAACTATCCAACAGCAACCCCTTTCCCTTTCGAGCCCCTTTATAAAAAACCCGGTCTCCAATAAAACAAGGCCAACTAAACTAACTTTGAAAAACAATAAGTGAATGGAAAACAATAAGCTCATGGAACTTGGGATATGAGGACAGTGGCCAAGGATTGGTATATGGCTTTGGGGATTAACCAACTTAAGATACAAACTCTGCAACACTTTAGCTCTCACCTAGCCTAATCTCTTGCCACTAAGAACTATCCAACAGCAACCCCTTTCCCTTTCAAGCCCCTTTATAAAAAAACCGGTCTCCAATAAAACAAGGCCTCCAATACATGTGAATCAACAAATTGAACAACAAGAGTAACATAGTCACAAATGACCCTCCTGAGGCAGCAACCAAATAAGATGTTACCAATGAGGTCGAGCAGGTCAACCATTCAAAATGCCCCCTCCAAAAATCTAAACTTGCGTAGAGACAATGATAACATAAAAGTTGAGCATCCTAAAGAAGTCAAAGAACAAATAGAAGACAAAGACATTGAGGCCCTTCCAAATAATATCCTTGCCATCCGACCTTTTCTCACCATTTGGAATGATGATGAAGAGGATTATATGTGCAAGATGGCAAGAGCATTTTCGAAACTCATGTTAAACAAGGGAAAATTTGCAACCTCAGTATAGACAGTGAGAGCAGGACTTCAAGGAAGCTTGTTGATAGCTCAAATTCAACAGTGAGAAACATACCACAACTAGTAAGGTTCCATAGATGAATGACACCACAATTCTAATTAATTCCCAATGCTTAGTTACCTACTGGATAAATAACTCTTACTCTAATCGGGTATGATGTGATGGCCTCCACATGAGTGGCTACCCTCAGGATGAGTCATTCCTTACTGGGGCGAAGGACATCACCATCCTAGTTGCTTCCTGATGTCTGGCTACCTCTAGTCCTGGATAAGTAACTATTGCCATGATCAGGTTTGGTATGATGCCCTTCCCGCGACCATTAGCCAGAACTTTTTGGGATGTCCATGGCTCTATGATAACAAATCAAATATATGTCGAGCCAACAAATACACCTTCCAAGTTAAGAATAAGAACATTACCTTCGAACCTTTTAAGAAATCAAGTCCTCCCAAAAAGGATAGGCCGAGCAAACTCATTAATTCTTGGACACTCAGTCCCTTTCTAAATAAATTAAGAAAAATGGGTTATTTACGCGCTTGTTAGGAGAGATGTCAACCTTACAAGAAAATTGCTCGCATATGAGTTTTCCTTAGAGGTCCAAAAATCCTCAGATTTCTCAGATTTGGTCCCAGATGAGCTCCCTAACAAGTTGCCATCCATAAGAGATTTCTTCATGAGAGAACGATTTCACGTGCAATATCTGCCCTCCTCACTCCAAAAAAGGGGCACATGACACAAGTGCATAAACATTGAGGTTGGAAAACAGAGTGGGAGTGGATTTGCAGTCCTAATTCCTTTATTCTCATACATTGACACCTTTCTCAAAGGTCACATGAAAGAATTAGTATGCTCATCCAATGATGTACAACCCAAACTTCTAGGAGCAATGAGAAAAATATGAAGAATGCAACCAGATTTAAAGTCAGACTCATTCAAGCCCACTTCAAAGCTTTTTATGAGGAAAAGCTCACTTCAAAACTCGAGGATGAGTTTTCTCCAATCATGGTCAAAGCCTGATGGAAAAAACAAAACCGAATTTTATTTTCCTAAGTGTGTTGGGCTTCTTTCTTTTAGTTTTTTAGTCCTTATTCATTATTGGGCACTTATTGTAAGTGGGCTTTAATTCTACTTTTATTAAATCATAGTATTTCAAAAAAAAATTGCAATCCTAGATGGACTAGAAACCTAAGTAAAACAGCTGCTTAAAAGTCTCTAGAAATTTGGATTCCATGTTTTAAGTAGTACAAGTATAGGATAAGAAAAACTAGGAGATCTCCATATGGCCTATGCCTAATTCATTCAAAGTTGAAACTGAGAACAAAGTCCGAGTTCTTTTTATTGGAATGAGGGCATCTTTGGAGAGTTACTCCAAAGTAGAATTAAGTGGGCTTAATTTTACTTTTATTAAATCATAGTGTTTCAAAAAAATATTCCAATCCAAGATGGACTAGAAACCTGAGTAAAACAGCTGCTTAAAAGTCTCTAGAAATTTGGATTCCATGTTTTAAGTGGTACAAGTATAGGGTAAGCAAAACTAGGAGCTCTCCATATGGCCTATGCCTAATTCATTCAAAGTTGAAACTGAGAACAAAGTTCGAGTTCTTTTTAGTGGAATGAGGGCATCTTTGAAGAGTTACTCCTTCACTGTGAGGAGAGAATCCTCAACTCTTTTTATAAAGAGTGATTCTACAACTCTATCTTAAGAATGGGATAGTCTTCTCATACCATTTTTTATTTTCTTCTCCTTGTGTGTAGTGCTTCCCTTTCCAAAATCCCTCCAACCAAATTTGTCACCCTATCTCTACCCCATCAAAGAAAACCCTTCCCACGCTCCAAACATAGCCCACCTCCTTCCCAAACTCATCACATATACCTCTAAACCCCCCAATGCTAAATCGGCCCTGACCTCGCCTCATTCCATTCAAACCCATTAATTACCCATGGAAGATATGTAACTTTCACAACTTCATCCCCTTAACACCCTTTAATGTTTAAACCTAACCCTAGTTGTTATCCTAACCATATCTAGCCTTCCTATCAAGTTATTAGAACTTAAATTCCCTAATCCCATTCAAACATGGAGACCTCGAAACCCCAAAACCCTGTTGTCCATAGATTTTGTCATACTCCTAAACCTCCAAGGAATCCCATCTCCACTAGAAATGCTAACCAAATTAGGATATCTAAAAGTAACTCGACAATCCATCATAACAGTATCAAAAAAAAAAAACTAAAAAACCCATCATGATTAGAGTCCAGGTCTTATGGATCCTGAACATTCAAGATCCGCATGTAAATAATTCAATTACTTATCCCTCAATCTATTAGTGAATAATCTCTCCAGATATGGTGAAAGATGTTGTACTGTAAATATTACTAATATTCCCCAAAAAGAGGATCCTGCTCTAAACAGGCTCATACATCAGAGCAACGACTGACCTCACTAAGGCACACCCACGTTCCCAAGCTATTAATTTCAACGAGTTAGGGCACAACACATTTCACAATACACGCAGTTGTTCACGTTCCCAGGAACTAACACTCTAGCATATTTAGGCTTAGAATCTGTCCCAGGAAAAAAGTTCACTGTGCTACTATAAGGTTCATTAAGATTATTCTGAGTACATTTAAGAGTATAATCCCCGTAACTAGGTGGACTTCTACCTCTCAATGTTGCTTCCTAGGCAGTTCCTTCTAAAAATCATTTCCATTTTGTGCCCTAAACGGCCAGAAAACCCACCAAGTCCCTTTTGAGTACAACATGAAAATTATTCAACTACTATCACCTGCAGGCCCCCGAATCAACTCAGTTTGATACAAAGTAACCCACACAAACATGTGTCAGTAACATGAAGAATACATGGGACTTATGTGCATCGATTGATAAGCCACACATGTTCACACATAAATAAGTAAACATGTTGCACAATAATCCCTGGAAACAATTAAAATGTTACTCCATTTTCAACTCCCTTGACAGCCCATGATGTTAACAAAAGATATGAAGTAAATGGAGAAACTAGCAGCACAAATTGTGCATATGATACTACTAAGAAGTTATGAAACAAAACATAGTGCATATCACATATGGTAATTGAAAATTGTAGCGTTGTTCAACTTTACACCAACAAGAAAATCAAACTAGAAGATATATTATCATATCTTCTAGCATCAATGGATCAAAATTATAAAATACGTCTCAAATCCACAATATGTTAACTAAATATCGAGTCTATAACTTACATTTGATTTGTTCCAAAGAAGTAAACAAGTACTTTTCTCCAATCAGCTGAATATCCCCACTTCTCAGGTTCACTAACCTGTGGTTTACAAAAAGCCCAGTTGGAAACATGTTAATTTGTAATATTTTCAGCTGTTGTGATGAAAAACAATAAAGTTTCTCAAACAAATATAATAACCAAGTCGACGGGCTTCCACATCATAACAAAGTCAAGCAAACAAGTAAAGCAAGTCAAGAACAACAACAATAAACTGCATATAAATTTTGCATTTGAAAGCATGTGAAGGAACAAATGCATAGAAAATGGATGACCATAAAATATACCTCAAAAATAATGCATGGAAATTCTTTTGTGTATAAACAGGTAAAAAGAGAGATACAAAAGCAAGTTTATACAAGTTTATTCTTATTTTTTGGCGAGCATGTGCAAGTTCCATTACCTGTTTGCACTTTCACACAACTAAATAATATCACACCAAACAGTAGCTCCCAGATGCAGACAATGCCGATAAATTATAAATGTACATACAGACTGTACGAATTCATCACAAATATCACACAAACATGTGTCTATGCTCATGCATGCAAACAATGTCGTTGTGCATCAAGCTCTGCTGCTTCAGCATATATTATGTGTATTGTTTATAATTCTTCATTATTTTGCAGACAAATACAGAAGCTGTACATAGATGCATTGACAACATACATAGCATGCATGAACATAGATGCATAAATAATCAAGAATTATAAGCCATATATATGATATATATATAGCAGTTTTTTGAGAATGATACATGATATACGTAGCAGTTGTAGACGTGATTTGAGTAAAAAGATGCATTGCATGCATGAACATATAAACATTGTTAGGTCATTTGTTGGATGGTTTCGGTAGGATGTTTGTATAGCACTCCCTTCCAAAAGGCTGTGAAGTGTTCCATGACATTCTGATATAAAAGAGAAGGGAGAGAAATAGATCTACAAGTTTTCAACAGGCCATGTGAAATGTACTCCTAATTTACTGCTTAATATAGTTTGCGCAATTTCTGTTGTTCTTTGTGAAATTTTATGCTATCGATTAAAAAAGAAAGACAGCACGTGGAATTTAAAATTGATGTAGAATTGCCAAAGTGAACAAGAACATGCATCCAATACATCAGAAATGATAAAAATAAAACGGTGAAAAGCATCCAAAATTACAATTAACTTAAAAAATCCTCTCCTTAGTAAAGGAAAGCCCTTTCTTGATTTTGTATGACTGATTATCTCAGACCCATGACCCCCACGTATTATCTTAGAAATTACATAGTCATCTATTTTAGAAAATGATAAATAAATAAGGTAGAAGTGAATGGAACCTATGAGCAAATATTTACCTGATCTTCCATCTCTGCTAAATGTAAAATACAAACAAAATAAACCCATAAAAAAACAAAAATAAACAAATAAAAAAAAACAAAAATAAACAAATAAAACCTGCTGAGAAAATGCATCCGCCGAAACTAAATAAAATAAAATAAAAGCATATCTACCTTCATATCCATGGAATACATATTAAAATAGACAAAATAAAACTACGAGTGTAAACCAAGACCCAAGATTCTCATCAGCCAGTTCTGGTTCAAATAACAGCTTACAACCTATGATCAACAGCAACTTAGAGACATGCAACCCTAATTTTGCAACTATGTTCAGATTAAAAATGTAAAAACAGGAAGATAAAACGGATATTAGGGTCAGAGCATGCATACCGTTGCAGGCCAGGCAGGAAAACCCTTGACCTTTGCAAGAACGAGATCTCCAGGCTTCCATTGATGCTTAGCTGCCTTAGAAGACTTGCCCATCCCTTTCCTTCGACCAGGAGCCATTACAAAACCCTAAAGAACCAGAAGAAACAGAAAGCACTGCCTACTGAGAGGAAAAGGCCAAAACCTAGGTCAAAAAGGCTTCTTTGCGCGCAGAATAACAGGAACCACGGACTTCCCCGTTGCATAAGAGCAGTTCCCCCATCTCATGAGAGATAATGGAATTAGGGATGGTAGAGCTGGAGCATTAGGGTTTCCCTTCCGGAGATGTGAGAGCGAGGGTTTAATAGGCATGGAGAAGGCACTGCGTTTAGAGAGAGATGTTTTGGAGAGATAAAGATAAGTCTTTTAGAGAGAGAAAGATGAAAGAAGAGAGCGAGTGAAGGTGTGGTGCGAGATCCAGAGGAGGCGGTTTGCGCCTGCTAACAAACCTGCTTCAAGCCCTAGCCAATTATATTTATAGGTGTTCACATAAAAATGATTTTGCTTTTTATTTTTCCTCCCTGTTATCCACCCACGTCTTATGTATGTAGGGACCTTGCTCTAATGTAGGGTTTATTTTTAGGTCCTACCAGGCCTCATACTTTCAAATGTCCGTAATTTTACTGGATCTACCATGTTTTTAAAATTTAAATTTCATAATTAAATATGAAAAAAATATACATTGAGTAATGATCCTATGAAACCTTTCGCATTTATGTGTGTAGGACCTCAAATTATCAGCATTAAATTTGGCACGGATATGTAGAAAAGTCAAATCTCACACCTATATGGTAATTTCTCTAGAGATCCATACCAACTTTAATAGTTATCTTTTGGGACCCTACACATGAATGGGGAAAGGTCCTATAGGATCATTACTCATTTGGAATATTCACTAAAAGATAGTACCTATAAAGGTTATCACATGGGTGTAGGACTTGACTTTTCTATAAATCCGTATCAAATTTAATGTCGATCATTCGGGGTCCTACACACATGGATTGGGAGGGTCCTATATGATTATTTCTCATATATAGGAAAAAAATTATATAAAGTTGAAACTTTAACATGCAAAATTACAAATACACCTCAAAATCCATCGAAAAATGTTGTTTTAATGTTGGAAAACCCTCTAAATGATCATCTCAACATCGTGATCTATGACTATGAAAGAAAAAAGATTGAGTCCTAGAAACAGTACATTTTGCAACACATTATCTTGATCATCCAATTTCAAGATTTTCATATGTTTATAGATATTCTTGATTTTAACCATTTTTTTAGTTTAAAATTTTATAATTATATATGAAAATATATTTTGAGATAATTCCAATAATAGTTTACACTAAAATTACAAATTATAATAAAATTTGGAAGTGCACCTTGTTTGGATTGTTTAAGGTTGCAACCTTATAGAAACCACACCATATATATATATATATATATATATATATATTAATTATCCTATGAGATCCTTCCATACCCATGTGTGTAGGACTTTAAAATATCGCTATTAAATTTGACACAGATTTCTATAAAAGTTATCACATGGATGTGAGATTTGATTTTTCTACAGATCTATACCAAAATTAATGATAATCATTTAGGGTCCTACATACATTGGTAAGTCTATATTATATATATAAACCGTCACAAGGATTTTTGTAATGCAACTTTGACATCATTTAGAGATATATGGTACATGTGTACCGTACTTTTGATTGTTTAAGGTTACAACCTTACACAAGGCTCACCCATATATATATATATAGAGAGAGAGAGAGAAATGAGAACCAGGATTGTAGCCGACCTTAATTAAATTGAAAAAAGCTAAAATGATGATGATATATATATAATTGACGTATCTACATGGGTATACATATACTTCATACTTATGAAATAAATAGATGTCCGATAAAAACCATATAATGTCTAATCTCGATTGGATAGGTTATAGTGAGTCGGCAACAGTGACATATATTGTAGTGGTACAGTAGTAAACAAATCACAATGTCGCATAAGAATAACACAGAGTATGCACGGTTCGGATGAACATAGGCTCCCTACACCCGAATAAGGTGGGATAGGGGACAAATGATAAAGTGAAGTTGTGAACTTAATTTATTTTTCAACAAAATTATGTGTAAGTTTCAAAATTATCCTGGGATTCATTTCTATCTCGTCTAATGAATTATGAGATGATTGTTGCACAAGGGCTGGAGTTGATGGTCCCTCACTACAGGTTGGCCGGAAATGTGAAGAAAAATGTCGTCATATCAGTCATATTTAGGGCATGCTCCATCACAACATCCAATTAGGGTGTGTCGGTCTCAATTTGAGTAATTTCTAGGGTTACAACCCATTTATTGTTAAATTGGTATAATTTGTTGTGTTTCTTTTAGTTTTGAATTGCATTGCTTTGCGTCCATTGTATACCAAAACATACAGTAAGTTTATATCAGAGAATTATGATTAAAATATAATTATTTAGATATAGCTAAAGTCGATAAATAGAAAGATGGCAATCTTATATAAAACTAGTAGATTCACACAAGGAAATTTAAGAAGAACTATAACGAACAATAAAAAAATTAAAAAACAAAGTTTCACAAACAAATGAAATTGAATATAAATTCTTATCATTATAAATTGTTTAATTCTCAAATGAAATTCGATCAAAATTTTAAATTACAAAAGATTTTTAAAGCTACTTTGCTATTTTAGCAGCTAGCAACAAAGATAGCATGTATGGTTTAAGAAATTTATGATTATTAATTTCAAATCGTGCAAATACAGTTGTCAAGTGCTGTTTTTAACCACTATATTAGTTTACAAAACAATTAATTAATGCCAATGTTAATTACAACATATTTTACAATATTTTCAAGACCATCGCTTCGAATAGATCCGGAGCCCTAAAACAACACATATATGTGGAATGGACAATCCATATTTTCCAAACACTGTTTTAAAATAAAATATCCTCATGAACATAAATTAATTATTATTTTTTAATGTCATAGGCACATGTTGTATACCAATATTGATTGATGTTCATGAGGATATTTTATTTAAAACAGTAGTCGTGGAGCAAGGCACACAGGGATAGG